CACGCACATATGTCATTCATTCTCTACATCACACACACACACACACACACACCTGGCCTGGTGTACAGCTGCCAAATGCTTAGCCACGCCGCCCCCGAGACAGGGGGAGAGTAGAAGAGAGAGAGTTTGAGACACACACACACATCCACACACACACACACACACACACACACACACACACACACACACACACCTGGCCTGGTGTACAGCTGCCAAATGCTTGGCCACGCCGCCCCCGAGACGGGGGGGGGAGTAGAAGAGAGAGTTTGAGACACACACACATCCACACACACACACACACACATCCACGCAGGTACACACAAACACACACACACACATTCTCTAAATCTCACACACACACACACACATTCTCTCTCTCTCTCTCACACACACACACACACACTCTCTCTTTCTCACGCATGCACACACACACACACACACACACACTCACACATGCGCGCGCACACTTACTCACACACACACACACACTCTCTCTTTCTCACGCATGCACACACACACACACACTCACACATGCGCGCGCACACTTACTCTCACACACACACACACACACACACACACACACACACACACACACACACACACACACAAATAGGCAGCGGGACTACCAGCTAGATTCACGTGACCTTGCGGACAAAGTTACGGAGGTAGAACTTGTTTTCACGACGACACTTGGACATAAGTACTTCTGTATTATTATTTTATCTCTTTTCAACCAATCCACAAGCCAAGAAGAGATGCGTAGACGGAAGAACCGTACTCTTGGTGATACTGATCGCAAACATGATTAATTCCTCCAGGCCATTGAGCACCCAATTCTAAACCTTATCTAAGCAAAGCAGCATGCCAGTTCAAGAACATCTCGTCAGACATACATATCGATACATGTCTGGTGCACTCTCACTAACAAGCAGGCATCGCAGGCTACATTCGCACCAGCAATCAAAAGAAGTTGAAGTGAGTGAATATAAAATTAATAATTGGAAGACAAATGAAGGTGTGGAGGATCGCCCAAAAACACGGACAAGGAGACAGTAAACGGTACACAGTACTCGTATGCATGTACTTATACACGTTATAGCAGCACAACGAAAAAGACCATGATGCATAATGTTGCATCATTAAATTTTACAGAGTTATTTTGGGAGTAGAAATGAAGAATGTGTTCGCAGCAGTAAACTGCGTAAGCACTACGTTGAGCCAGAATATTGAAATACAGTTTCCTGAAGTCAAAACAAGACACTCACACTTCTCTGGTCTAGTTCGCCATTCTTATCGATAAACATGACTTGATTTTTAATTTCTTACGATGGTCCTTGAGAATGGATCAATGATGTCTTGAATAGATGTCTTCCTGAACGACTTCAACTGAGAGGCAGTTTCAGTTTCAACAAGCTGGACATTGTTTTTCTGTGGAGTCTTCCACAAGAAAGACAGAGCTACACACACGAAGGTGCTTGATGTACTCAGTACCTTCTTGGAAATGAACATATTTTCATTTCCATCTTCATTATATTTTCGTCTCTGCATCGTCGACGATGTCCACTTCTGACTCCGTAATCTTGTCACCCATCCTCTCCAAAAACACAAATCGAGTGCTGCTTGCATGCTGGATCAGTTGAAGTCAGTCTCTGCTCTAGCAAGATCGGCATGCAAAAATTACATGACTGAAAATATTCCGAAATAGCTTTTCTGAACGACGAAGTTTGTTCTTCAAATAATATGATGAATAGCACAACCTACTAGCCAGAACGTCCTCTCAAAAGAGATTCTTTCTGAAGCCTGCAAGATTTCCGACCACCCTTCGTTTTGGAGAGGAGCCCACACACGCCAGACTCGAGCTGCAAGTAAACTACGCGGAGATCGAGAGTTGATTGAAATCTTTCTTGCTCACTTCTGAAACCTGTGAAGCCTTTACTGAAGGAAAAAAGTATGCTGAACGCGTGAATGCCTACAGTTGAGTCGTAATATTTTGACGTGGATCCTGTGACCGTTCACAGAGAAAGTCGCGGCAGTTTGTGACTGGTCATCGGGATTCAAACTGGTGTGTGACTTTATGACTGCTCTTCGGGGATTTGTGACTGTTTGATTGGTCACAGGGATCGTGATCGGTCATCGAGACGTGACTGCTCACTGAGTCCTACATATATTCACACTATACTTCGTATCTGAGGCTTCATACACCTGTCATACACCGGTCTGTGTACAGAGAAAAACTATTTTGCACAGGTATCCAGTATTCTACTATGTATGTTTCAAGCAAATAATTAGGACATTGGCTCTGCTTGGTCTGGTGCTGGGCAGGTGATATCTCCGCTCTCTGGGTGGCAGTGCTGACGAATCTGTTCGTGCAAGTACTTTGCACGTTGCCGTGAGATTCCAGCCGTCTCCAGCGTCACTGGCAGATGATCAGATGCCAGGCAGTAATACACTTTGATAAAGGTCACCGGCCACGTTAGCTTCTTCAATATGAGCTTTGAGTGTGTCAGTGTGCTTTAAGCGAGTTTCTGCCGTTCTTGCCCTTACGATCTGAGACTGCAGATCGGAACTTACACCCCGCACATCTTCTTTTGGTCTCATAATTATCACATCCCCGGCACTCACTGCTCCATATTTTCAGGAAGGTTGTGTATGCTGCTGTTCTTCCAGCCTTGATATATTCAGTTTACACATGCTTCTTGGTAGTAGCACATGGCAGGTAAGTTGGAGTGGGCCTCTGGGGGCAGCAGGCTGGGGAAGTCCATTGATGTCATCAAAGTGGTGGATGAACTGCCTGATGTCAGACACTTCATCTGCAGGCAGTGCATTCCAGGGCAAAGTACCCTCATGTGTGTGTGCTGAGGGGGAGCAACAGCATGCTCATAGACATCCCCCTTTAACTTCCACTCATTTACATAATGTGCGTACATGAAAACAGTCTGGCACACTTCGTCACCATCCACTTCATAGCAATAAGTGGATCCGAACCTTTCTCCGCGCTGCATCCGTTGTCACGGCAATGCTTCCATGGTGAGAAGTAACTGCACCGCGTCGTCTCAACACATCGATCTTTCCAGCGACGTAACAGTACAGCTCCGCGTTCGTCATTGCGAGCGCTGTGTTGCGTGCAGTGAGTAGAGTATCCAGTGACACGTTCTTGAAACAGTTGTCACCGGCACAACTGCAGCCCTTGTCCACTCGCACCTCTTCAACAGTAGATCTACTGGGCGCCGCCTGGGCACGGGATTTCTTAGGTTGGTCCTGTCTTCCGGCGGCGACGGCTTGTGCTGGCTGTAGCGCTGGCGCCTCGTCCAAATTCTCCTCCACATCGATCGCAAGCGCGATCGGCAGGGTCACGAGCGGAGAGGCGTCGGTCGATTCGTCATCGCTCTGGTCGTCAGAATCTTGACCACCCGAAGAACGATCTATCGTCATTTAGCAGTGCTGACGACTCCGCTGCCGAGAATCCGACAACAATTTGCGCCAACATGCGCCTTCGTCCTCCTTCCGCCATGACTGTCACCTATGCGATGATGAGAAAATCGAGACGTGCTGACGTTTTCATCATTTTCTCCGAAAAATTACACAGCACCGAAGGGTGGTTTTAGCAGATCGCGAGCCATATATTCCGTCCTGTATTCGGCAATTTTCCTGCCCATGCACCTTTCTTTTGTCTAGTTGGCATACGAGCAACTCAATATGGCCGACTCCTTCAATATGTGTTCATATTGTTTCCATCTAGCTGCAATAATGGCTTTTTTTTAGTGCAGGTGTCAAATGCCATTAAGCGTCACCATCAACCGCCTGCGGATCGGACTCCTCAGGCACGTTCTGCGCTCACCAGTCGACACCCCGGCACAACTCGCTATGGGTGCGTAGTTCCGCCGGGCCAGCGATCCAGCTGCACAACGCTTCCACGGTCAGCCGCGTACCACCCTTGCAACCACCGTCATCGCCGTCCTGACCAGCCATGGTATTCCCACTCGGACGCAGACCGATCTTGAGACCTGGCGCACCAGAGCCCAAGACAGAAAAGGCTGGCGCACCCTGAAGGCAACTTGCTAGGACCAAACTGTTCAAACCACTCCAGACCGATTATTCAGAAATGACGAGACAACTTACCAGCTATTATATCAATGAACTAGTAATTTTCACCTTTCTGTAGCGCATCCTATCGATCACAGCTATTGTGCTCTGCAGCATTGTTCCTCAAGATTCTGAGCTTTCTGTTTGTCTTTCTCTTTATCATCATCCTGGATGGCACAAGTGAAGTAGGCATCCCCGCTTACATCGCGATAGTGCTTATAATAATAATAATAATAATAATAGGTGTCAAATGACACTGGTTGGCCGTTCTAGGTATACATACTCGCCATTATGGTACCTCATCATTCATAAATCAAAGGTTTATGGCAGACGAAAGAGGAAGCAAAACCAGGAATAGTCACTAGATTTGAACGTATTCTGATTAGCCATATTTCGGTAGTTCCAAAAGTTTGACTCACGCGGTGTCAAATGACACCGTTGGCTGTTCTAGTGTTAAGATAGGATATTTTCAGGTTTCAGCAGCCCTGGGCAAGTCGTTTATGACAATGTGTGTCAATTCTGTTGTGCACTACCCTTTGTGTGCCTATTGCAGGAAATCACGGTGGTCACTGTCCATGTTGCAGCTGTGAACAGTCGGAAAGGTGAGAAATAGTGAATTTTTGATCATTTGTGCACATGTGTTTTTTTTCAATGTATCTGTGAGTAAATGGGCCCAGCTGCAAAGTGGGTCCAGGAATTGTTTAGATTTTTGGTTTGCTAGTAGGCCGCTTGCACTCGTAGGCAGTGCCCCAGGAAATTTGACCCTGCTGTAGCTGGCTTGAGTTCCAATTCAGGATACACGTACGAAAGCCCCAAACTTGAAGATAGGTTATTTTCAGGTTTCAGCAGCCCTGGGCAAGTCGTTCATGACAATGTGTGTCAATTCTGTTGTGCACTGCCCTTTGTGTGCCTATTGCAGGAAATCACGGTGGTCACTGTCCATGTTGCAGCTGGGAACAGTCGGAAAGGTAAGAAATAGTGAATTTTTGACCATTTGTGCGCAGGTGTTCTTTTCAATTTACCTGTGGGTAAATGGGGCCAGCTGCAATGTGGGTGCTGGAATTGCTTAGTTTTTTTGGTTTGCTAGTAGGCCGCTTGCACTCGTAGGCAGTGCCCCAGGCAATTTGACCCTGCTGTAGCTGGCTTGATTTCCAACTCAGGATTCACGGGCGAAAAGCCCCAAACTTTGACTCGGCATAGGTTATTTTCAGGGTTCAGCAGCCCTGGGCAAGTCGTTTATGACAATGTGTGTCGATTCTGTTATGCACTACCCTTTGTGTGCCTATTGCAGGAAATCACGGAGGTCACTGTCCATGTTGCATCTGTGAACAGTCGGAAAGGTGAGAAATTAATAGTGAATTTTTGACCATTTGTGCACATGTGTTCTTTTCAATGTACCTGTGAGTAAATGGGCCCAGCTGCGATGTTGGTGCAGGAATTGTTTAGATTTTTGGTTTGCTAGTAGGCAGCTTGCACTCGTAGGCAGTGCCCAAGGAAATTTGACCCTGCTGTAGCTGGCTTGAGTTCCAATTCAGGATTCACGGGCGAAAAGCCCCAAACTTTAGGATAGGATATTTTCAGGTTTCAGCAGCCCTGGGCAAGTCGTTTATGACAATGTGTGTCAATTCTGTTGTGCACTACTCTTTGTGTGGCTATTGCAGGAAATCACGGTGGTCACTGTCCATGTTGCAGCTGTGAACAGTCGGAAAGGTGAGAAATAGTGAATTTTTGACCATTTGTGCACATGTGTTCTTTTCAATGTACCTGTGGGTAAATTGGCCCAGCTGCAATGTGGGTTTTGGAATTGCTTAGATTTTGGGCTAGCTAGTAGACCGCTTGCTCTCGTAGGCAGTGCCCCAGGCAATTTGACCCTGCTGTAGCTAGCTCGATTTCCAATTCAGGATTCACGGGCGAAAAGCCCCAAACTTTGACATAGGTTATTTTCAGGGTTCAGCAGCCCTGTGCAAGTCGTTTATGACAATGTGTGTCAATTCTGTTGTGCACTACCTTTTGTGTGCCTATTGCAGAAAATCACGGTGGTCACTGTCCATGTTGCATCTGTGAACAGTCGGAAAGGTGAGAAATTAATAGTGAATTTTTGACCATTTGTGCGCATGTATTCTTTTCAATGTACCTGTGGGTAAATGGGCCCAGCTGCAATGTTGGTGCTGGAGTTGCTTAGATCTTTGGTTTGCTAGTAGGCCGCTTGCACTCATAGGCAGTGCCCCAGGGAATTTGATCCTGCTGTAGCTGGCTTGAGTTCCAAGTCAGGATTCACGTACGAAAAGCCCCAAAACTTTAAGATAGGATATTTTCAGGTTTCAGCAGCCCTGGGCAAGTCGTTTATGACAATGTGTGTCAATTCTGTTGTGCACTACCCTTTGTGTGCCTATTGCAGGAAATCACGGTGGTCACTGTCCATGTTGCAGCTGTGAACAGTCGGAAAGGTGAGAAATAGTGAATTTTTGACCATTTGTGCACATGTGTTCTTTTCAATGTACCTGTGGGTAAATGGGCCCAGCTGCAAAGTGGTTGCTGGAATTGCTTAGATTTTTGGTTTGCTAGTAGACCGCTTGCTCTCGTAGGCAGTGCCCTAGGCAATTTGACCCTGCTGTAGCTGGCTCGATTTCCAATTCAGGATTCACGGGCGAAAAGCCTCAAACTTTGACATAGGTTATTTTCAGGGTTCAGCAGCCCTGGGCAAGTCGTTTATCACAATGTGTATCAATTCTCTTGTGCACTACCCTTTGCGTGCCTATTGTAGGAAATCACGGTGGTCCCTGTCCATGTTGCACCTGTGAACAGTCGGAAAGGTTAGAAATAGTGAATTTTTGACCATTTGTGCACATGTGTTCTTTTCAATGTACCTGTGGGTAAATGGGCCCAGCTGCAATGTGGGTGCTGGAATTGGTTAGATTTTTTGGATTGCTAGTAGGCCGCTTGCACTCGTAGGCAGTGCCCTAGGAAATTTGACCCTGCTGTACCTGGCTTGAGTTCCAATTCAGGATTCACTGGCGAAAAGCCCCAAACTTTGACATAGGTTATTTTCAGGGTTCAGCAGCTCTGGGCAAGTCGTTTATGACAATGTGTGTCAATTCTGTTGTGCACTACCCTTTGTGTGCCTATTGCAGGAAATCACGGTTGTCACTGTCCATGTTGCAGCTGTGAACAGTCGGAAAGGTGAGACATAGTGAATTTTTGACCATTTGTGCGCATGTGTTCTTTTCAATGTACCTTTGGTTAGCCCGTGCTTCATACAGCCGGACATGTACATGCGCGTGCATGCGGACCCACACGCATGAACAAGCACACAGAGAATAGTCTGGTGGAGTTAAATTGGATAGGTGGAGTGCTGGATTCGAACAACTCGTGCAATGTCACGTGACTCGGCAAATGAGTCGCAACGCGAAAAGAGTCTGCTGAGTCGCGAACATGCAATGACTCTGCAACTGAGTCGCAAGCAAGCAAACAGGGCAAACTAGATGTGAGAGAACATCCGCACTCCCCAATGTTTTATTTTACTTCTATGTTTTTTTGTTTTGTTTTCTTTGAGAATTGAATATGGCAAGTTACAGCGGATGCAAGTGAAGACCACATAGGCTGCAGAGAATATAGCAACATGTTAACGTAGAGCAACAGCTATAGGGTGGGTGTTGGTGGGGAAGAAAAAGCTAGGAGCAAAACTGTGAAAGCCAGGCAACAGCAGCGAACTCTACTTTCACAAAGGCAACACTCAAAGCAAGGTACGTGGGAAAAGTTTGGAGCAGAAGAAATACGAGGTGTGAGCTGCAACCTCTCTTGGCGCGGTTTCGGAGCTGCGCTGTACATTAGCGCCGTGAATCTGCATGATTGATTAGTGTAATCAAGCTGCCAGCTAGCAGGTGCTCATGCGGCGCTAACACGCTGTAGCCACTGGCTAGTGCGCCATTAGCCCGGGCTTCACACAGCCGGACATGTACATGCGCGTGCATGCGGACCCACACGCATGAACGAGCACACACAGAATAGTCTGGTTGAGTTAAATTGGATAGGTGGAGTGCTGGATTCGAACAACTGGTGCAATGTCACGTGACTCGGCAAGTGAGTCGCAACGCGAAAAGACTCTGCTGAGTCGCGAACAGGCAATGACTCTGCAACTGAGTCGCAAGCAAGCAAACAGGGCAAACCAGTTGTGCGCGAACATCCGCGAATCCAGCACACCACGTAAATATTCAGAATTGCTAGGCCAAAATTCAGACCAAATGGTTAACCTTTGCAAGCTGTGACGACACACTGTACTTAAGGCATGCTGGCATACGCATGTACCGCAAACATACATCACTCTTCCAGCGTCCAGCGGCGCGGATCAGAGAGTCGGGCACACCGGCCATTGCGGCTGTCGTAGCAGCACCAATGCGGAATGAGTGCCCGGAATACAGGTGCAGGTTTGGCGCGCCAGATACTGCCAGCAATGAACGTACAGTGGTGGTAAATGCCGCACGAGTAAGCTTCTGTCCATCTGAGAGCACAAACAGTGGCCCAGTGGATGGATGATGGCGGGTAGTGAGCAGGTATGCTGTCATCGCTGCTACAGGGCAGTACGGTTGCGTGGCTCGGCCAACGAACACTGTGACCCCACTGCCCAGTGGATCTGTTTTTGACTTTGGCAGGAACAGCTGCATGTTGCCATCTGCGAGTCGAGCATCAGTCCTCCGAGTCTCCTCTGTAAACTCGGAACAGCGAAGGAAGCCGTAAAATGCAAGCAGCATACATGCTTGGTACAGCAGACGGTCATGTCGGTTGAGTAGTTCCGTCAACTGGCACGCATCCACTATTTTGCGGAGCATAGGCATGGTACTAGGAAGGCGAGGCGTGATAACAGCTGTGCCATGGCACCGTCCAATGCCCTTTACTACTCGTTTCAGCAGCCACGCATCTTCCAGCGGATCACCCAAGCCTTGTTCAATTTGGGCCTTGCGCACCGCACTGAGGTACACAGAGATAGTACATGGTCTTACTGAGCGAGCGAGGAATGCGGCAAAGCAACTTAGCTGATAGTCAGTAGCTGGGAAGGGTTTCCAGAGGCACAACTGGCAGTAAGCACTATATCTGCTCTCACCGTTCGAATAGGTGCGCCGTATGTTCGGGGCAATGGCGCATGCAGCGTAGTAGCATACTTCCCCATGTACTGGGGCCATATCAGGTTGTCCGGCAGGTTCTTGGCGCTGGGAGCGAGCCGCCGAAATGCCTGCACAGAGAAGCGTGACAGAGAATTAGCAATCAGGTTCTTGTTCCCTGCAATATGGATGGCTGAAATGGTAAAGTTATGTTTGGCGCAGACAAAGAAAAGTCCGCGGAGTAGTTGCATCACTGGGGCTGATTTGCTACTGCCCGACTTTACACAGTCCACGACTGCAGCATTGTCGCAGTGAATAAGGATACGGAGCTTTGCCCAAGCATGGCCCCAAGTGGCGCAAGCGACTAGCAGGGCATACAGCTCCTTCCAAGTGATGTCTCTCTCCACTTCTTCTCGGGTCCAAGCGCCGTTGATCCACCGGCCGTTGTTGTAGGCTCCCCAGCCACGTGAACCGCTTGCATCTGTGTAGAGTTGTAGATCTGGCGATGGAGTCCAATTGGGGTGCAAGAAGAACGATTTACCGTTCCAGTGTTGCAGCAGGTGCTGCCACCACCTGATATCTTCCATAGCATCAGAGTCAAGTACTATCTTGTAGTGGGGCTCTTGATACCTGCTGCACACCGACCAGAGCCGTCGAAGAAATGTGTGCCCTGGGACGACCACCCGTCCTGCAAAGGAGAGCTTCCCCAAAAGGGACTCGAGGCTGCGCTGAGAAATAGAGTTACGCTGGAGGGTGGCAGTAAGCAGAGATCTGAGCTCAGTCAGTTTGTCGGATGGGAGCCTGGCCTGCTTGGAAACGCAGTCCAACTCTATTCCAAGAAATGTAAGACACTGGGCAGGGCCTTCTATATTGTCTGGGGCCAGGGGTACGCCTAAGAGCATGACTGCGCGGAGCAAGATAGCCAGCTGGCGGTTAGCAACAGAAAGGCTAGAAACGGCGTTCAGAAAGTCATCTAAGTAATGCAACAGATCACTTATGGAGAAATGATGCTTTATGATCCATTCAATAGCATCAGCAACGGTGTTGAAAATGAAGGGACTAGAGCGCAAACCAAAAGGGAGCACTTGTTCGTAATAGTAACGGCCTTGCCAAAAAATACCAAGCAGCAGGAAATCTTCGATGCGTACTGGGATCTGCCTGAAGGCGCTCTTGATATCCAGTTTTGACAGGTAAACTGGAGGGGGTAAAGACATAATCATATTGATGGCATCAACAATAGTAACATATTGCAGCGGGAATATATCAGTAGGTATGCCGTCATTGACACTCGTCCCGAGTGGGCTAGACAGGTGGTGGATGATATGCATTTTACCGTTTTTCTTTGGCACTGCACCGACGCCCGAGCAATGCATAAATGGGAAAGGGGGTGAAGTGAAGCGGCCAGCAGTTTCCCTTCGACTACAGGAGGCAGTTAAATTTTACTGGTCTGATATAAACTGAGCGTGTTTAGCAGCGGAAGGGAGATTAGGAGAATTAACGTTAACAGTACGATCACCTGAAAAGCCAATATCGAAGCCATGATGCAAGCCATGCAGAACATATCGTGAAAACTGTGGGTCTGGGTGGGTAGATAGCAAGGAAGAAAAGCGGGTAACATGCAAAGGCGAGCGGAATGTGGAAGCGTGGAGAGTAATGGCTGAAGGCAAACTATCGGAGTTGCTGACCTTACTGAGAAGTGGTTCGGGATTTGGTCCCAGCCTTGGGGCACTGTTGGCGGGAATGGTTGCCGCCGCATGTGTTGCAGACATGGTGGAAGCGGCAGGACGACTTGTGCTGGCACTGGCCGGAGTTAAAGTTACGGCAGATGATTCGGCCGCTCTCAGAACGGGTGAGCGTGGACCCGTGCTGATACTGCTGGGGGCTTCTGTTCGGATGAAAAGGACACTGACTGGACAGAGAGTGCACAGTGTGGCATACTGGACATGCTGGTCTGGCCTTACCCGTGACGGATAGCTGCCACAAATTGTTGTCGATAATGTCAAGGCGCTTGCCTGGCTGGAACGAGGCTGACAGCCGAAGTTGCTTGTCATAGCTGAGCCAAGCAGCTGGCAGATACTGGCGGTTGGCTTTGAGGTTGATGGACTGGTACGCCAACAATTCGTGGAGACGGTGTGGTGCGTGAGTACAGACAATCCCCGTGTACAAGGTCCAGGCCTCTAGCCATGTTGCGATGTCGTGTACCCGCCGTTTGACTTGGCGACCGTCTCTGGTTTCAACCAGTTCTAGCGACTGCTTACTTCCCCCAGACTGATTGGGGGTACAAAGCTCGAACGAGCGGGATTCAGGTTGAGAGACAAAAATTGCTTAGCCCCTCTGGCAACAGTAAGTTCAGCTCAATGAACTCACCTTTAACGATGCGATCTTGCAGTGACTTGGGCACGAGGAGGTGAGCTGCTGCCGAGGTTTCGGTACTGCTAGCCGCCGGCAGGTGTGAACAGTCAGAAAGGTGAGAAATAGTGAATTTTTGACCATTTGTGCACATGTGTTCTTTTCAATGTACCTATGGGTAAATGGGCCGGGCTGCAATGTGGGTGCTGGAATTGCCTAGATTTTTGGTTTGCTAGTAGGCCGCTTGCTCTCGTAGGCAGTGCCCCAGGAAATTTGACCCTGCTGTAGCTGGCTTGAGTTCCAATTCAGTATTCACCAGCGAATAGCCCATGACTTTGACCTAAGTTTTTTTTCAGGGTTCAGCAGCCCTGGTCAAGTCGTTTATGACAATGTGTGTCAATTCTGTTGTGCACTACCCTTTGTGTGCCTATTGCAGGAAATCACGGTGGTCACTGTCCATGTTGCAGGTGTGAACAGTCAGTCGGAAAGGTGAGAAATAGTGAATTTTTGACCATTTGTGCACATGTGTTCTTTTCAATGTATCTGTGGGTAAATGAGCCCAGCTGCAAAGTGGGTGCTGGAATTGCTTAGATTTTTGGTTTGCTAGTAGGCCACTTGCACTCGTAGGAAGTGCCCCAGGAAATTTGACCCTGCTGTAGCTGGCTTGAGTTCCAATTCAGGATTCACGGGCGAAAAGCCCCAAATTTTGACATAGGTTATTTTCAGGGTTCAGCAGCCCTGGGCAAGTTGTTTATGACAATGTGTGTCAATTCTGTATTGCACTACCATTTGTGTGCCTGTTGCAGGAAATCACGGTGGTCACTGCCCATGTTGCAGCTGTGAACAGTCGGAAAGTGGAGAAATAGTGAATTTTTGACCATTTGTGCACATTTTGTTCTTTTCAATGTACGTTTGGGTAAATGGGCCCAGCTGCAATGTGGGTGCTGGAATTGTTAGTTTTTTGGTTTACTAGTAGGCCGCTTGCACTCGTAGGCAGTGCCCCAGGAAATTTGACCCTGCTGTAGCTGGCTTGAGTGCCAATTCAGGATTCACGGGCGAAAAGCCCAAAACGTTAAGATAGGTTATTTTCAGGGTTCAGCAGCCCTGGGCAATTCGTTTATGACAAAGTGTGTCAATTCTGTTGTGCACTACCCTTTGTGTGCCTATTGCAGGAAATCACGGTGGTCACTGTCCATGTTGCAGCTGTGAACAGTCGGAAAGGGGAGAAATAGTGAATTTTGACAATTTGTGTTCTTTTCAATGTACCCATGGGTAAATGGGCCCAGCTGTAATGTGGGTTCTGGAATTGCCTAGATTTTTAGTTTGCTAGTAGGCCGCTTGCACTCGTAGGCAGTGCCCCAGGAAATTTGACCTCGCTGTAGCTGGCTTGAGTTTCAATTCAGGATTCACGGGCGAAAAGCCCCAAACTTTGACATAGGTTATTTTCAGGGTTCAGCAGCCCTGGGCAAGTCGTTTATGACAATGTGTGTCAATTCTGTTGTGCACTACCCTTTGTGTGGCTATTGCAGGAAATCACGGTGGTCACTGTCCATGTTGCAGCTGTGAACAGTCGGAAAGGGGAGAAATAGTGAATTTTTGACCATTTGTGCACATGTGTTCTTTTCAATGTACGTTTGGGTAAATGGGCCCAGCTGCAATGTTGGTGCTGGAATTGCTTAGATGTTTGGTTTGCTAGTAGGCCGCTTGCACTTGTAGGCAATGCCCAAGGAAATTTGACCCTGCTTTAGCTGGCTTGAGTTCCAATTCAGGATTCACGGGCGAAAAGCCCCAAACTTTGACATAGGTCATTTTCAGGGTTCAGCAGCCCTGGGCAAGTCGTTTATGACAATGTGTGTCAATTCTGTTGTGCACTACCCTTTGTGTGCCTATTGCAGGAAATCACGGTGGTCACTGTCCATGTTGCAGCTGTGAACAAATGGGCCCAGCTGCAATGTTGGTGCTGGAATTGCTTAGATTTTTGGTTTGCTAGTAGGCCGCTTGCTCTCGTAGGCAGCGCCCCAGGAAATTTGACCCTGCTGTAGCTGGCTTGAGTTCCAATTCAGGATTCACGGGCGAAAAGCCCATAACTTTAACCAAAGTCTTTTTCTGGGTTCAGCAGCCCTGGGCAAGTCGTTCATGACAATGTGTATCAATTCTGTTGTGCACTACCCTTTGTGTGGCTATTGCAGGAAATCACGGTGGTCACTGTCCATGTTGCAGCTGTGAACAGTCGGAGAGGTGAGAAATAGTGAATTTTTAACCATTTGTGCACATGTGTTCTTTTCAATGTACCTGTGGGTAAATGGGGCCAGCTGCAATGTGGGTGCTGGAATTACTTAGATTTTTGGTTTGCTAGTAGGCCGCTTCCACTCGTAGGCAGTGCCCGAAGAGATTTGACCCTGCTGTAGCTGGCTTGAGTTCCAATTCAAGATTCACGGGCGAAAAGCCCCAAACTTTGACATAGGTTATTTTCAGGGTTCAGCAGCCTTGGCAAGTTGTTTATGACAATGTGTGTCAATTCTGTTGTGCACCACCCTTTGTGTGCCTATGGCAGGAAATCACGGTGGTCACTGTCCATGTTGCAGCTGTGAACAGTCGGAAAGGTGAGAAATAGGCCTGTGGGGATTGCCCTATCAAACATTTAATAATAATAATAATAATAAATAAAATAGTGAATTTTTGAACATTTTTGCACATGTGTTCTTTTCAATGTACCTGTGGGTAAATGGGCCCAGCTGCAATGTTGGTGCTGGAATTGCTTAGATGTTTGGTTTGCTAGTAGGCCGCTTGCACTCGTAGGCAATGCCCAAGGAAATTTGACCCTGCTTTAGCTGGCTTGAGTTCCAATTCAGGATTCAATTGCGAAAAGCCCCAAACTTTGACATACAGTCAAACCTCGTTAGGACGAACACTGATAAGGCGAACTTTCCATTAGTACGAACTAAGGCCAATCCAATGGTTGGCCAGGCATCAATTCAAGTCAAAATTATTCGTTTACGACGAACTTCTGTACAGCGAACTTTCGCGAAGACGAACTATTTTCAAGTGTAATTTGAACAAAGTCAGTGTGGTCATGCACATGTAGTACGAACTTTCGGTCCACGAGCGTGTGCGTGCGCTGGCTGCCTTTTTTCTTCTTCTTTTTTTTAAAAGTCGAGGTCATAATTATTGTACGTACAGTGCAAATTGTTTTCAAGCGTGTTTTGAACAAAATAATCAGTGCGTTGTACGAACTTTCGACACAGTCGTGATTCATTGCACTTTGTCATTGTAATTACCTGGTTCTGGCGTATGCTAAGAATAACATGCTTCCCATGTACCACAGCATGCACCTTCACGTAAATACAATCCATCTGATATGCATATCGATTTTTTGTCAGATGTGGATAAGAAGAACTCCCGATAAGACAAACAAATTTGTTCAGTCCCTTCAAGTTCATCCTAACGAGGTTTGACTGTAGGTTATTTTCAGGGTTCAGCAGCCCTGGGCAAGTCGTTTATGACAATGTGTATCAATTCTGTTGTGAACTACCCTTTGTGTGCCTATTGCAGGAAATCACGGTGGTCACTGTCCATGTTGCAGGTGTGAACAGTCGGAAAGGTGAGAAATAGTGAATTTTTAACCATTTGTGCACATGTGTTCTTTTCAATGTACCTGTGGGTAAATGGGCCCAGCTGCAATGTGGGTGCTGGAATTGCTTAGATTTTTGGTTTGCTAGTAGGCCGCTTGCTCTCGTAGGCAGCGCCCCAGGAAATTTTACCCTGCTGTAGCTGGCTTGAGTTTCAATTCAGGATTCACGGGCGAAAAGCCCCAAACTTTGACATAGGTTATTTTCAGGGTTCAGCAGCCCTGGGCAAGGCAAGTTGTTTATGACAATGTGTGTCAATTCTGTTGTGCTTTGGGACCTGATAACGTCTTGGTTGGATGGGTAATCAAGGATGATACTACTCGGCACACCAATGTACATGTGAATGTAATTTTTACTTTTTCAGAGCTGCACTATTTACGTCTTGATGCTTACTTCGGTGCTAGCGTGTTTCCCCGGATTATTTCTATCATCATGCGTGTTCTTGGGCTGAGCGAGCACATGCACGAGTGTGCAGCTATAGCCCTGTGTATCTTTGGTGACACTTTGTTCTGCAATGCATGTACCTTGTAACAGTATGTGCTTGCACTGCTTTGTGTGGCCTGCCTATTTCAGGACTATTCAGTGCATTAGACCCAGGTTGGTTTGGTTGCCGGATGATCTCTTGTTGCAACGCTCTGTGTTTTGTATTCATCAATTTTTGGGCTTGAGAATTGAGCTGGTGTGTGGTTCCCAATATGAAAACATCATGCTGATGCTCTGTGTTTCGATTATCGACTGTCCGAGCAGTCACGATTCATTACCAGAACGGTCAATACTGTAGTCTCTTCACGTGTTTGTCTTTTTGTGTTTCGCCGGGGGAATTAGCGGTAACGTTGCACATAGAACGGCAGTGTTGCATCACTGCACGACCCTGCCTCTGCATCTGACTTCATTTCCCCAGGATCTGGTGCAGATACACCAGACAGTCACTTCCTGTAAACACGCAAACAGCAAAAAAAGAGATCCCGCAAATCAGGAAAAACCATTGTGGAAAATATCGAGTAGATCATACACCATTCAATAATCTGGAGTAATTACAGTGAGACAAACACTTCAAACAGTGCTCTCTCTCTCTCCATCCTTCCAAAATACCCTGTAACAATTCCCTAGAATTATTTTATTATTTTTATATTCTCAGGACATCATTCTGAACAACTTCTTCCATGGGTCTTCAATCACCACGGAGGGCGAGAATATATCTCAGTCATGCAGTCTACGGGAGGTGCGGGATGTCATGGATATAGAAGCTGATATTGTGCCAGCGTGAGGGCAGAGACAGAGAGAAGACACTGATTTATTGAACAACTCACCTACATATAATCGAATCCACAGGGAGCGCTCGTGCTTTGATCCATCAGGACGCGAAGAATCTTCAAAGCACTCTCAAACACGGAGTTTTACAGTGGGCAGCCAATTTCACAGCCATTATGAAGGCCCTCGACGACTACAGGAGATTTGTAGAGGAAAGAATAAGGAGTAAAGAGCGACAACAATCGCTTGAAGAAAAAGCAAACCAAAACTGCTCTCTCTCTCTCCAGTCATTTAGATGCTGTTTCCTTTGACAACTGGTTCCATCCAGAGGACGCGACTTTTGTTTGTCCCCAGTGGTCTCCGTTGCTATGTGTATCGAAGGGGCCGTGACGTCACACTTAACAGCCCCATTGGAGAGGGGGTATTACTAAACGTGGGTCATCAGGCACCGCGACAGAAGCAAACTGCTTGTTGAGGATGGTTGCTTTTTGGAAGCTGTCAGACACCAGCAGCCCATCAGGGCTTCCAATGTCAGGGATGCCAGGTTTTACTTTGTGCGATCTCTGACTACGGACAAACTGTGAAGCGTAGTGCTGCCTGAGGTAAGAGTTGTTTTGATTGAAAGAATGTACTGGCAGTGGCACCAGCGGGAGAGATGTCTCACCTGGTTCCGCTGTGCCTTATATGCTGATAGGTTGTAGTCCGTAGGGAATTTCTTGGAGGGGAATAGGTCACGCTTCAACTTGATAGCCTTGCATAGTTCAGTGGAAACCCATGGATGATATTTGCGTGTAGACCCTGGGGTTGAGGGAGTTCGATTTGGTTTGCGGGAGCTATGAAGGCCGGGAACATAGTACGACAGCACAGTCTGCAGGACACTGTCACACACTGTGCAGGTTACTAAGTGCACTGTCCACGTCTGAGGATGTTAATCAGTTCCAAGGTACTGAGTCCAAGTCTGCATTGACCGCCTCCCACACAGCAGGTGTGACGTGTCGGAGATCGAAAGACATAGGGTTAGGCTCCTGAGCTTGAGACGTTGTTTCGCGGGGAGACTGAGGCAGGGGGTGTCGAACTGGCAGTACACAATGGCATGGTCTGAGGCGCCCAGAGGGCAGTCCGTTTCGACGCAAGACAAGAGATTGGCACGGTTACTAAACACCAAATCCAAGCAGGCTTGGACACCAGAGGGTGACGTGTGTGTACATGTGTTGACGAGTTGGTGAAGACCAAATGGACTGAGCGTACGATACAATTCAGCACCGGCAGTGTTGGTGGAATCTGTCGAACACCATGACGTGTGCTTGCTGTTATATCACCCGTCAAGATAACATGAGAAGATGAAAGAGGAAGAGTAATGAGTACGTCTTCGAGAGTCTGGCAGTACCTTGCTATATATCTGTTGTCTTAGCAGAAGGTGGACGATAAGTGCAGTAGAGGAGGATCGGCTCAGCTGCAGCCGGATACGGCTGGAGTTGAACCCAAACGGCTTCGCACCCATCGCGAGCTAGATTGGGACGCGTGGCAACAGACTTAAAACTTATTCTGTCGAACAAGGATAGCGACACCACCATAACCTCTTGCACTTGTCCCGGACTTATTCTCTGCAGGGGGCCTGTCCCTCCAGAACTGAGGTGTCATAACGCGTAATATTGAGTGCAATATTCGGGTCGAACCAGGTTTCAGTTAGGCAGATTATGTCAGGCTGCCACTCTTCAGCAACAATAGTAAGCTCTGTACACTTATTCACTACAGAACGACAGTTTGTTGATAGGAGTGTGAGCTAGGGAGGTCCAGAATGCTGGTGAGTGGGAAGGGAGTGTCTGGTAGGAAAGAATGGGTGTGCGTGTGGGTTCAGTGAGGAAGGTGGGTGTGGGTCCAATTGCATGGTTTAGTTACTAGCAGACTGATCCAAGGTTGTGCTGTCAGATGCAAATCTCCATTCCCTGATGGAAACTTTGCTTGGCCAGAAATCTTCTTCGAGAACCTGGTCAGTATGCTCAGCCGGAACAACAAGGTGAGCATAAGCAGTACCAAAGTACTTGGACTCCGAAATTGAGCAACTGAGGACGTCAACTGCTTTCTTTTTGCACCACTCCCTAATAGAGTCAGCCTCACACCCAGGATCGACATTTATGAGGTAGAAGCACTTCCGCTTTATCCTTTCTGCCCCCTGGAGGCTGCCTCGCTTACTGGACACAGGCTTTTTGTACTGTGACGTAATAGAACGCTGCAGTGTGGGAGCATGAGTCATGTGTCGGCGTGGAGGATACTGCAAACCATTACTGTCAGTTTCACCAGGAGTGCCAGAGCTGGGCATGCGCGTGCCATGTTTGGGTGCGGGAGGTGCGTGCTGGGAACCTGTTTGTACAATGGGCTCTGTAAAGGATGCGCCAGGAATGGTAGAAGTGTACATATTTGGACCTACTTGTACAATGGGCTCTGTAGTAGATGCACGTGAAAGGATGGCAGCGTACGTATTCGGTTGGTACCGAGTGGTTAGTGGCACTCCCGGGGCTCGCACTTCCTGACTTTTGAGCTCCCCCATCTCTTCCCGCAATCGTGACAATTGGGCTTCGAAGCTTTCTTGCGAAGACTTTCTTGTTTCAATCACATTTCGTAGTTGCAAAATCTCATTTGAAAGTGCTCGGACTACGTCTAACAGTTCTGATACAATTGGTACCATACCGGTTTCAGATGGCGCTCCTCTGGCTGGTGCGCTGGCTCCCTGCCCTGCTTACGGAGAGCGAACACGAGGTCCGCCCTAGATAGGCCGTCCCATCCTGGAATTCGGGCGTCCTTGGCTACCTGCTGCAACACATTGAACTCGATCAGGGCTAGGTCTAGGGTTGAGTCCGCCATAGCTGTGCTTCCTTGGTCAGTGCTCGACAAACAAAACAAAAGTAAGGAGCCGATTGGTGGAGCAACAAAATTTGCTTCCACCTTCTACCACACCAAAAAAGGAGATAGGTGTAGGCCGCTCGCATTCGCAGATGGTGCCCCAGCAAATTTGACCCTGCTGTAATTGGCTTGAGCTCCAAGCCAGAAAGCACGGGTAAAAAGCCTCAAACTTGGGGATTGGTTATTTTAAGGTTACAGCAGCTCTGGGCAGCTGGTTTATGACAATGGTTCTTATTTCTGTTGTTGACCACCCTTTGTTTGCCTATTGCTGGAAATCACGGTGGTCACTCTCCATGTTGCAGCTGTGAATAGTCGGAAAATGTGAGAAACGGTGAATTATTGACCAATTGTGCGCACCTGTTATTTTCAATGTACGTGTGTGTAACTGCAACCAGCTGCAGTGTGGAGGCTGGAATTGTCTAGATTTTTGGTTTGCTACTAGGCTGCTAGCACTTGCGGGAAATGTCCAAGGAATTTGACCCTGCAGGAATTCGCTTGACCTCCAAGTCCGGAAGTACGGGCAAAAAGCCCCAAACTTGGAGGTAGGTATAGCGGGCCGCAGTCTGTCGGAGGCGAAATACTGCAAAGGTTTCAGTGAACAGACTGTTGTTTATTCCCGTAGCTATGCAAAAGATGTACTGTACTCTGTCAGTTTTGTGCCTAGTTATTGCACTTTCTGACTGTATATAGTATCCAGTTACAGTGATGGAGAGTTACTCTTAACTCGTATCCATATGTCCTTTTCCTTTCTACATCTATTTATGGCTCAACATCCGAGTTTCAAATAATAATAATAGTACTGAAGTAATTAAAAAGCTTA